ACAACAGAAATCCTCTAATGGGTTGAGAATGCTGAGTATTTCCCAATACTTTCTGTTGTATCCAGATACATATTTTACAAAGTTTTGAAGTCAGCAATTAAAAGTTTAAAAAATTATTTTAAAACACAGATGGCCAAAGCTATGGATGGTTTCGTTTAAGTGTTTTTTTTTTTTTTAATCCATCTTTGACTTGGTAGTAAAATAAAACAGATGTCTTCTTTATGAAAACATGGAAAATTTGGTGGCCTAGGAGGAAAAAAAAAAAACAATAGAGCGCTTTTAGATAAATAACTTGAGGTTTCAGCCTTTCTGAAGCAAAGGTTATCAAAATCTGAAGCCAGAAAATTGAAAAAGTTAATATTAATATGCTATTGTAAACCCAGTCTCATAAAGGATGTGAGTGGCAAAACTAAATATCATAACAAACTTCCCGACATTTGATTAAATGTGTAGCTATAAAGGTTAAGGCTTTATATTTTTATATAAAGAACGCAAGCACTTAGAGGCTTAAGAGCCACATTTAAATCTCCCAGCAAAAAATCTTTAAAGCAGGTAAGAGAAAATGCCTAAGGGCTGCATTCCGAATTCTCTCCCACCTGAACATGAGGCACTGTAGAGCTCTACCAGTGTATTATATTATCTATTTTATAATATTATCTATTACAACCTCGTGGGGCAATTAAAGGAACAGGCAGAAGTTTTGTGAAACAGTCCTGGATTTAAACATCCGAGTTCTGCCCAACGAAGGAAAAAGTCCTGCGGTGGACTGAGGTTGTAACATCTAGACGTCTTACCTAAGCTTAAGGCTGGTTGGGTAGTTGCCCTGCTAAGCAGAAAAACAGTGAGAGGAAAGAGCTCATTATGTCCATTTTAAAATGAAAAAAAATAAGACATGGAAATGTTATGTGGTTAGCACCCAGCTACACTGAAAGTATGTGCCAAACCATACTGACATCTTCTGAGTCCGAGTCCAATGGCACAAACACAACACTTACGAGATAAGGGAACTTCATTCTTGTCTAAATAATAGCAGGTTTTCAGTTTGGGTTTTGCTTCTTTTTTGTCTCTTTTCTTCTTTCCTTTGGCACATGCATCACTTCGTACTAGAGGAAATTCTCTAAAATGTGGAGYATTGAAAATATCAGTAGAATTTGGTTATTACTTACTGAATCCATGTCATAGCAGGAAAGATTACTTTCCAGCTACAAACCACATTTATTTACTAAAGCTCCATGCTTCAGCTTACTTACGTGCTCAAGTTTACTCCCAGGAGTAAAGCAACTTACACGTTTCTGTATTCACAGGCTCTGAGTCCAATGAATAATAAAAGGCATTTGTGTTCTGTTTGGTGAATGTTTCGTTCCGTRGTGGTGTTACTTTTATCCATAGGAAATCCCTCGTGTTAGACACTCTTTCGTACACACTGAGGACTAGTGCTGGCCCTGCTGGGGGGAAGCCCGGGGCACGGGTCTAACAGGCAGATCTCAGCAAGGGCTTTTCAAACAGCCTCGGCAGGGACAAGGGCAAAACCTGCAAACTCCCCCTGCTCAGCCACATTCTGGGTCACGGTCAGTGACAAAGATAATCTTGTTTTACAGCTACCTATCACTGCATAAATGAAACAAAGTTATCTGGAGAAGGCAGCTGCTACAAAGGAACATTGTATGCAGCTTAACTTCCTCACAATAAATTTTCAATTTGAGAACTGAAGCAAACCACGTATTCCCATGTATGTCCTATCCTAACCTGTGACAGCACAAACCCTGTGAAGATAAGTCAGCAAGTTACCCTTAAGCAAGTTACCCTTATCCAAAAGCAGTTGCCCTACAAAGAAATCCTCATTAAAGGAGAACGCTACAGAGAAACAATTTGCTCAATTTTAATACAAYATATTTGAATCCATCCTGACTTTAATCAGTATGATCTGCCGTTGYATTCAGTCCAGTTGTCTCTAAACCTGAAGATCAACCAACATGTAGGTCTGCTCTGTGAGGGCTGCCAAGGTTCCCTCGTGCACCTACACAACCAAAGACAGGGTCCACCCAGGGGCTCTCCTACACTGCCTCTCTTACAGAGGCAACGTTAACACAAGGGTTGTTACACAAAGGTGGATCATCCRTGTATTACTTCAGCGTAAAAATGTGAGAAAAACTGCACTAAGGCAGTTACAAATATTCTTTTTGGTTTTACTTGTCCATGGAATGTTTTACATGAGAACTGCTCTGCACTGACAAACCTTTATTATGGCTGCTTGTGTTGCTGCCTCTTTAGCATTTACCTACTGTTGATGCTATCTGATTTAAACTGATACTTGACACTTAACAAGAAATAAATCTGATCAAAAAATGATTGGAGACCCCTGTGAACCAAGAAACAAATCGCCTGCCAGTAAGATTTCATTTATTAATTACAATTCTTTTATCTATTTTTTGAAGGCTGCACTCGGCACATGTCCTGGTGTTGTACATATAGTCAGGTGAACACAAATTACTTAGAAACTGAATCTTAGTTACCAGAAGCTGATAACTGCGACGTGATACTGGCAGAATGACTGCAACTCCTACATAAAGAAATGGTGACAACTTCCTAAGAAAATTTCAGAACTGCAGAGGACTCGGCAAAGGAGTATGGAAACACTTTGGAAAGATGTTACATCTCATAATCCTCATTCGTAACTTTGCTTTCTTTACCCCTTCTGAACTGCAAAGTGAGACAAAAGCAAGGCCAGGATTTCTGAGAGAAACAAAGCACTCGGTCTCTTGCTCTTTTCCAAAGTGCCCGAGTCTTGGCCCATTCCTGTTCTGACCTTTGTGAGCTTGAGCAGCTAATTCTCATAGGGAGCGCAGGGCACTCTTTTGGAAAAAAAAAAAAAGGTCCTTCCGAGTAGAAAATTAAGGAATTCTCTGCCCATCCACGGAAGTCTTAGCACCTTCACACTCCAGTTCTGCCCCTCCCCATTCCTTCAGATATGAGTTCTTGCAGATCTTACTGGATCATTTCCAGTGGTCCATGTTCTCGTTTTTCTTTTTCTTTTTTTTTTTCTTTTAACCTCAATTTTACAAGCCCTAAATATGCAGATCACCAAAAAGCTGTCTCAATGAAGACAACAGGCACACAAAATAACTTGCATAACTTTTTTTTTTTCTTTTTTTTTTTTTTTCCTGTTCTCTGCATGTGCCCACTTGTGTCTACCTCTGAACATACCAGGATGTGAAACAAGTAATTCTGAGAGAAAATGAACTGAAGAAGCCTGGTTTCTTAAAGATTGATACTGAGGCTGATAATGAGCTGTAACTGAAATTTTAGTCATTATTAAGACATTTATATGGTCTTTCATCCATGGGAATCAGTGTTTAATACGAAGTAGGTTCATGTTACAGCCTTTGGGACATTTAAAGGATCTCTCAGCTCTAGCAGCTGCCTATTTTTATGAAATAATTTAATTATATTTGAGATAGATTTGGTCAAAAGTGCCCAAGAGCTTCAAAAGTTATTGGGGAAGAGACACAGCCAAGCATGATCACATAAAGGACCGTTTCCATAGGAACCAAGAAAGAAAACAGCAATACAATTTGCAAAAAAAAATGCATTGCAGACATTTTTAATTGATTTTTTTTAAAATATCTGATCAGGTTTTAATCACATTCCTGTAACACATGAATTTCTCTGCTTTCCCTCTCTCTGTGCCCAGGCTGCAGACCTTGTACATTCTTGCTGTCCTTTATCTTCCAGGAACAAAAAAAAACATGTGTTTCTCAAAATAGGGAGGTTTCTCTGTCTACATTCTGTTGATCTTCTCTTCAGACAGCAACTCTCCTTCAAGGCAAGGCGAACTTCTCCAAAAGAAGCTCCAACTGCTGCACCCAACTGCCTGTCCTCACGCTAGATGAAGAACAGGCAAATTAGATGGAGGACCCATGGGGGCAAATGGGTCAAAATACCTCCTGTTCACCCAATGCCTCTGTGATTGAATGAAGGACTGGAGGTTGGAAGGGCCRGTCTTGAGCAGTGAAGATCTGGGGTTTCATTTGGGTTTCAGGCCATGGAGCAGACGGTAACTTGAATGAGAGCAGGGAGAAAGTTTCAGAGGTGACAGTAGGCAGAGATATTAAAAACAAGCAGCGCCAGGCGCCCTTCATTGTGTTATTTCCAGTGGCCACTGCCCTTCTCTGCTGCGATGTTCCTCACTGTCCSCTGCGGTCGCAGGCTCCCGCGTTAAGAAACGCCCCCGTGAACACGGCAACTGAAGGACCTGAACGGCGGGACCTGCGGGCGCGATGCCGCTAGCGCTTCCGCACGCTCCTGGGGTCCTCGGGGATCCTCGGGGATCCCCAGATCCCCCCGGCACCCCGAGATGCCCAAGGCAGGGGGCCGCCCCTGGCCGTGGTTCGAGGTCGGTCACTTTGCCGCCGGGCTGTTCGCCCCGAGGTGCCGCGGGCAGGGCGCTGACCGCCCCCCGGCTCCGCCGCAGCTGCAGCCTGGCCGCATTTACGTTATCGCGCTCCCGTCTCGTCCCGAGGGCGCCGCTTCTCCCCGCGCCGCCCTGCCCGGCCTTCCCGCCGCCCTCGCTCCCTCCCTCCCGCCTTCACTACCGGGTCAGGCGGCAGGCAGCGAGGCGGGCGGGCGGGGAGGGAGGCAGGGACGAGCGGCGCCCGCCTCGCTCCGGCTCCGGCTCCGGCGCCGGCACCGCCCGCTCCTCCTCCTGCCGCTGCCGCCGCCCCGCGCCCGCCCTCCTGCCGCTGCCCGCGCGCCGCCACTTTCCGTACAACTAGTGGCCACGCTCGCCGGGGCCGCGTCCCGCCGCCGCGGCTGCCATGGCTCTGCGCTGAGGCGCCGCCGGGCAGGGCAGAGGCTCCGCGAGCCCCTCGGCCGCCCCGCGCTCACCCGCGCCGCAGCCGCAGCYTCGCGCTGCGCTCCCGGGCCCCCGGGGAGAGCAGCCCGGCGCCACGGGGGGCGGGCAGGGAAGCCGCAGGAAAGGAGCAGCGAGAGGGCGCCGGGCAGCGCATCCCCACGGCAATGTCCAAGGGCTTGAAGAAGAAAAGCCACTGGACGAGCCGGGTCCACGAGATCGTGATAGTGAGGAACCAGGAGGGGCAGCTGGGCTTCGAGCTGAAGGGGGGCGCCGAGAACGGGCAGTTCCCCTACCTGGGCGAGGTGAAGCCCGGCAAGGTGGCCTATGAGGGCGGCAGCAAGTTAGTGCCGGAGGAGCTGCTGCTGGAGGTGAACGAGACGCCCGTGGCCGGGCTCACCATCAGGGATGTGCTGGCCGTGATCAAGCACTGCAAGGACCCCATCCGCCTCAAGTGTGTCAAGCAAGGTAAGGCGGGCACGGCGGCCCCGCGGGGCACCAACTTCGGTGGCCGCGCTGGGGCTCGGCGGGCGCGGCGCGGCGGGC